CCTGCAGCCCATCCTGTCCTTGCTGCCAGACTGTTTTTGCCATTCCAGCCTGTCAGTGTACCGCAGCCATCAACATAGACATTCCAGGGGAAGTTGTGCAACTGTCCCTGCTCAATCATTAACTGGGACGTTCTAGCTGTTAAATTTTTTTATTTATGTCTAGATTTTTGTGAGGGGAGACACTTGTTGGCCAGGGCAGACTGAATTGCACACAGAGCTCTGGCGCTCGGCCGAGCTCTGCCCCGTGCACATGAAGCTGAGCAGTGCAAGGCTGGCCAGAATTGAAAGCAGGGCTTCCAGTGACAAAGTGAAGCAAAGCTGTTACTCCTAAGGAGCACTGGCTTTGCTGAAGTCCTGGCTGGGAGCTGCTCCGTGCTGGGTGTTGCAGGTGTCAGCACCTGGAGCCTGCCCTAAAGGGGCACAGGGGGTGACCCACAGCCAGGACTTGGGCACTTTGTGTGGAGAGTCAGGCTGTCACAGCAAGAACCAAACCCCACCACAGTGGGAGGATCCCTGGAGGCTCCCCGGGTCTGGGGTGTGTGGGGAGGGCTGCAGGGAGGTGCAGCTGAGGTTTTCTTTCCTCAGCATGTGGGGTTTGTGACTCTTGCACTGGGGCTCAGAGCTCTCCTTTAGGCAATGCTGAGCCAGTTCCAGCTCGCTCCTGGCTAGAGGTGGTTGGTGGGGAGATCATCCCTTCTTCCTCCTTCATCCCCCTCCTCATGCTGCATTTTACTGTTCAGCTGGGGCATATCTTGGTTTGAGTCAGTGTTTTGGCCACACTGATTGATTTCAGAAGTTTGTGCATATGGAACACTGGAACAGCATGGCTTGATCACCAGAGAAGCAGTCTGAATCCATGCCCATTTTTTCTGGGGTCTACTATGTCCCCCCACTAAGCACCCCTCTCTGATTCACTATCACAGTGGATATTTTGGGAGGTGTGAATGATAGCAGCTACAGCAGACAGCTCTTCAGACTCCTCTTTCATCTCTAGCTTGCAAGGTCCTGCCAAAGCCGCAAGAACGGAGGAGCAGAGGTGAGAGCTGTCCCTGGGGCAGACCAGGGAGAGGGAATCTGTGTTCCCATCTCGTCTTCCCTGCGCCATTACCCCTGGGATCAGGAGCAGTGCAGCAGTGCAGCAAAGGCAACATATTTTGCACCCAAAATATACTGAGCAAGGAATCAATCTAGCCAACAATCTCATGCTCCACAGAGAAACCCTTTAGCTGTGTTTGCTGTTGTTTGCAGCCGTGCTGCACCATGGCTTCCCAGTGAAGTCACTGAGCCCAGCTGGGTGTAACTGAGGGTGGTGCTCACATTGTCTGGGCTAAATGTCAGCAAGAAACAGCAGCAGTGGAACAAAATGGATTTCCAAGCATTTCCCTTCTTCTGGTTGCACAGAGTCCTCATTCTTGGATGACTGAGGCAAAAAAAAGACAAGACCAGAGTTATTTTGGATGGAAAAGTACCTAAATGTTTTGTTCTCTGAGCATAGAAATAAACAGAAATGAGTTCTGGGTCTTGTAAACATCAACACCCAGTTTTGTGTATACAGCCCAGCTGCTAGGAAAGCGTGATGTGTTCTAACTCCACTTTGAGTTTAAGGAATAAACAGGATTCACTGCTCAGCCCATGGGGTCCCTGACCATGCTTCTGAGGATGCCCATCCAAGACTTGAGCATTACCTGTACTGATGTGATCTGCCTTCCTTCATACTGGGCAAAATCAGCTGGGCTGGCCCAGAGCTGCCTCTGAAACTGTTTGATCCAGGTGAATGGTGAGAGTGCTCTCTGGCAGATGGACCATGACATGCTCCTGGATGCTTTTGTTGGGTGTCCAAAGTTTCTCAGCTACTGCATCCACTGGTGTGACTAACACAGGTTATAGGAGAATGTTGAGAAAAGCCCATGACTCTAAGTCTTCCCAAAGAATGTGACCCTGAATTTGGACCAGATGTGAAATACACGACCTTTCTTTATCCTGATACAAGTCTGAAAATGTCCTGGGTAAGGCACCGACTCTTCAGTGTTGGTGTAGAGGGATCTAGACCATGCTCTAAGAGGAGCTGCTGTCAGATGGAAGTCTGCTGTAAGTCTCTAAGCATATTTACATTGTTTTGCTCATGTTGGTCTTCCAAGAAACCAGTTGTAAAACTTGCTGCAGGACTGCTTCTGCAATTGTGTGCCAGACAGCAACTGGAGCCTTGTGTCCAGGACAGGGCCTCGGGAGCTGCTGTCTAGGAAACACTTCTGCACAAGGCAAACCCTTGGTTTTCTGTGCTTACTGTACTCTCTTATTGTGAAACCTGTTCTGAAATATTGTTCCTAATTAGAAATTATTTGAAACAGATTCCTTCTTGCCATCCTTTTTGTGGTGCTCAGTAAAGACTTGATTTTTCAATTCTTGACTGAAATTTTATTACAGGAACAAAGATATCCGAGTCCGAAAGGAAGGGGAGATTTGGTCTTAACCTGACCTTCCAATAAGCATAGAGACAGTTCCACTTTTCTAAAATTATGTGAAACTGGACTTGGTTTGTGTTCTTTTTGTATAGAGTTGAACTCTTCTGGAGTACACATATTTATAAACTGAAAGTACATCAGCAATGGGAAAGGAAATGGACAACTTTTAGTGTCTTCATGGACTGGTATGACTGTAGGCATACATCTTGCACATGTAGATCTTGCACAGGCTACAGTTTCCTGGGCTGTGAGGTGATGTTGGTGAGTTTGCTTAATCTTGCAGCTGTCATATCTGTTGGGAGCCTGGCTGCCACACGCTGACAGCAGAGCTGGGCTCTGTGCAGGACAGCACTGTGCCCAGCACGTGCATTCTGCAGGACTCTTCTGCTCCCTTCTGGCCAAGTCTTGCAATCCAAACCAGAGAGGATTTTCTCCACATCTTGGCTGGATATCAGGATTGATCTCAGGAGGACTGTGGTCAACATAGTCCTTGATGCTGGTGGTACAGGAAATGAAGGGTGGGTATGAGTGTGCCCCATCAAGTAAGTGCAACCATTTATGTGTTCCATTTCTCTTTCCTTTTCACCCACAGACTTCATGGTAACCAGTTTCTTCTAGAAGATTTTGAGGTCCTCAGAGGATATGTGCTCAAGAGTCACAGTTACTGCAGTGCTGCAGCAAGTTAGTGATTACTTTTCTCCTGCTTGGGGCTTGCTTTTCATGCTGATTTCTTTTCCTGGTTGCTGTATTCCTAATGTTTAAACTCAGGGACTTCCTCACCAACCTACAGCCCAGACCCTGCAGTAATGCCACAGAACTGTCCTATTTTTCTCCAAGGTAGCTGATTTTGATGTGGAGACAAGTTCTGTCTCACAAGGCTTGAGAACTTTGGAAGTGGCAAAGTACTGTCCATCACACCTCAGTGCCTCAGTGCTTGTCTGCAAGTCAATGTGCTTATTCTGGATCAAAATTAAGATACTGTTGAATTAAATGAAAGAGAATTTATAACCATGAATTGTGTTTGCAGAGAAGCTCTCCCCTCTTTTTGCATACTATTCAGCTGCTCTTAATAGTTGAGACAAGTGGGGTCCCACATGGGATTAGTGTCCCCTCTGAGGGACAGGAAACTTGGACACAAAGATACATGACTAAGTCCTTATAGGTTCCTATAAGGAGCCAAGGCCGCATAAGGAGCTCAGTGTCCTACTAGAGGCATTGACCCAGGCACAGGAGTCCTCTAATTGACTGGGAAAGAGAGCTGTGCCACATTCAGACTCAGGGTCACTACCTTTTGTGGCCCATGCCCCTGACCTCACCCATGGCAGGGCCTGGAGGGGTGGCTTGTTGAGCAGACTGTTGTCAACACCCAGGTGTTGCCATGGGTTCACACTGCAGTGCTGCTCTGCTCTGGGGATACAATGACCTAATCCTACACACCTGGCTCTAGCTGCAGTTCCCAGGATGAAAAAATTCACCTTTATCTGTAATCAAAGTTTTAACCTGCATAACCGACAACCCTAAACAAAAGGCAGTTAAAAAAGAAGTCCAATGTTTATGACCTAACATGTTTTCAAAACCCCATCATGTTTAACCTAAACACACTGCTCATAGGGGGTGTGAGTCATGTCTTTAATCACTAAGATTTGACAACAGCAGGTAAATTAGCAGGTTGCAATACAGGAAACCTTTCTTAGAATGTCACATTGCCAATTCTTTTGCAGGGTTGGAACCTCAGGTGTATCTTCCAAGAACCTACCTGGGCTGTGGACCAGTATTAGATATGTTCAAATCCAGTGCAGCTGTGCTGGCAAAAGTTCCTGTGTAAAATCAAGATGGTAAAAGAAGCCTTTTGTTTGGATGAGTGGTATTACTCAGGCTAACCTGCCCCAGCATGAGGGCTTTTGTAAGCTGTGTGCACGTGTGTCTTCGTGCTAGTGGAGTTACATTGGAGACATTTTGTGAATAGACTTGTGTTGTCTTCCTACAGACACTCATGACTCCAGGTGTCCATGGCATGGAATATAAATGGGTTATTCATCATCATGGACCAGCTACTGTTAAACTTTGCTAGGATTTAAAATACCATCCCACTGGTTTCCTACCATCTTTCTGGCTGTTAAATGACTACTGTTTTGTTTATATGACTCTTTTCTGCTACACATATATAACCTATGCCAATATATTTTGTTATTTTAATTATTTTGAAAGTGTTCTCCCATCTTTTTTCTCATTTTTCTCTTCATTCTCAGCCTTCTGCAAGCTTTCCTTTTTTTCATCTAACCTCCCACAGACTGCTGCTGCTAAAGGTATGGACACTGGATCACCATTAAGAAAAAATCTGCTGATTGATGATGTTGTTATAGATATCTGTACTTCTTTTATATTATTACTTCTGTATAGCTGTACCAAGAGGGAGAGTCTTGCCTTTAAGACCTTGTTTGCTCGTTTACCACTTGATTACCTACCTTGTGCCCCCCCACCCACCTGTGCCCTATCAAATGCTTATGAGCATCCTCAATGTCCTTATAAGGAGCCTGTGTCCAGCAGGGCTTCAAAGGAGACTGTAAGAAACAGAGAGCAAAAACAGGTATTTTTCCTCCAAGGTCTATGTCTGTAATAAATACTGGTATAAGAACAAGTAGACTAGTAACTGCCAAGGGGGTAGCAGAGATGGAGTTAATGCACAGGTACTAGTGAGCTTACCTCTAGATTTACACACTGCAAACTGATGTTGAATTATATATATTTCTGTTTATATCCTCGCCTAGTTCCTCCTGTATTTGCTGCTCCTCTTTATAAACTGTAAGCTCTTTAAGGCAGAGATTTCTGTATAACACCTGTCAATCTTGACTGAGGACACAGCTACTTAATAATGATGCTAAATAAAAATGAGTGTGCTGGTCATGACTCCAGGTTCTCATTTATCCACAGCTTCATGTTGATTTCTTGATGAGAATCTCCTTGGAAGCTGAGGAAACTGGAACATCTTGGACTTGGCATATGACACCAAGAATCTGCAAACTTTAGAGGCTCTGTTCAGAGTAAGTTAAGAGACAAACCATGTTTTTTAATTTCTAGGTTTCATGCTGTGCAGCTGGGTTCGTGTGAGAACCCGGCACTCTTATTAACAGGACATGCCTCAAGCCTTATGAATTCTGCCTAAGGGAGCACCACAGGCAGATGGTATAGATCCATGGGCTTCCATGGTCAGGAGGAAGTTGACAGTTCTAAGGTTTGTCTTTTCCTCATATTGATGAATTCTGCCTAAGGGAGCACCACAGGCAGATGGTATAGATCCATGGGCTTCTATGGTCAGGAGGAAGTTGACTAGGTTCTAAGGTTTGTCTTTTCCTCATATTTGAGCTGCTAAGACTGGGGCAATTCTAATTTTGAGTTGTATTCACCACTGGCCTTTTTCTTCTTCTTCCTGGGCTTCATATTGCCTCACTTTAGCCAAGAGGCAGGAGGTGAGATATGGGAGGTTTGGTATGACCCAGAGAGGTTCAGCAGTGGATCTGCCAGGAGCACAGAGCCATTAATGGACCTTTGGGGTTCATGAGCCCACATCCCTGGAGGTCCTGACTCTTGTGGAAGGGCTGAGCAGGGATGTCTTACTGCACAAACTCACCATGTCCAGGCAAGGCTTGCAGCAGATTGTTCTCTCCATGCATTGGAATACGTTGTCATTTGGTCTAGAGAAATAACAAGACAGGAGTTTTACATATGTGGCTTTTGCCATGTTATTTAGATTCTGATGTATCTTATCCAAGATTTTAATGGAAAGCTTTCTTCTCTGTTCCTATGGGCCAGATATTCAGCTGGTGTAAACACAAATGCCATTGCTGCTGTGTTCTTTGACGTAAGGTTAGGGCTGAGCTCATGGTGGTGTTGTGTCTGGGAATATTTTTATCCTTTAGAGATATTTGCCCCCTCTCCCCCTCTGTCTCCTCAACGATTCCTTCTTCTCAGCAAATGTGCTCCTCTGTCTGGAACATATGGGACAAGTATTTTCTTCCATTCCTTCACTACTCAAAAACCGTCAAATCAATTTGGCTAAAATTAAAACCTTTTGGGTTGAATCTTAGCCTAGAAAACCTCATCTCCCCGTGGAGTCCTTGAAGAAATTTGTGAGCAATTTCCAAAAAGGATGGAGCTGTTGATGTCTTAGGTTTTAGCTTTTATATTTTTCAGATTCTGTGCTGCTATAGTGCATAGTTCTGATCTTCATGCAAGGGGATCGTAAGTTCTCTTCACAGAGTAGGTAGACAAAACAATTCTTTCTCTAGCTTGGAACCAAGGACATACGATCCAAATTTCAGGCCCAAGAGTATAAACAATGTGGACAGAAGAGAGAAAAATAAGGATGGGACTTCATAAGCTAAAGCTATAATTGGACAATTAACCCCAATATGCAAATGAAGCAGAACTTATAAATGAGAGACCTTGTGACCAGTTACCCATTTTTTGTGACCATTTTGGGTTCATCTTGGGTGTAGCCCTGGCTGGGCTCTTGTACTGCCCAAGGTGTATCCATTGAGGCCTTTTAGTAAATCCCTACTTTATTCTTTAACTCTGTCTAGCCTCTGTTCTAGGTCAGCCTTGACAAGGCAACACTGTCTTATGAAAAAAGAGCTGGGGCAGAAACCAGTTGGAAAAGCCCTTTGGTAGTAGTTACACCCATGCCTTCAAGTGTACAACTTTGAGTGTCACATGAGAAGGAAGGGTGGCTGGTGACTTCTGCAGCTCTATACAATCAGCAGGGTAATCAATTCTAGTGACCAAGGCATGCCCTTCCCCACCTTTGTTTTTCATCTGTGTGAGTCTTTACACTTCTGCTTTTGGCTGGAAATGCAAATGACTAAGTATTTGGTACCAGACTTTGCAGACTTCAGAAGGTCAAATAGCTTGGAAAAGCTTTTTAAGTTTTGGATTGTTTAACCCAATCCTTTGAGATTCACAGAAAGTTATATAAAAAGCTGTCATCTTTGTGGATGAAATAGCGAAGGGTACATTGGTGAAGCAGCAAAAAGACTAATTTCTTACAGTAAAATGTAGTTAGTTTTGTTCTAATTAAGTGAATGTTGTCCTGATAACTGTCCTTCCAACCTGGGATTTTCTTCTTTTTTTTTTCTTGGATATTGAATTGAGTCAGAGTAAGCTCTACCCTTGACTTGTAGCAGTTACAGTAGTGGGTGAATCACTAGCAGTTTGATTAATTCAGTGTGGGAAAGAGCTAACATGTGGTTGTAGCTTGGTGAAGAGCATTATCTGATTTGGGCAGGGTGATTAGGACTTCTTGTTCAGAGTGATTCATCCAAGGAGAGGACCTATACAAGGAATAAAAGGTGTTCACACCAAATGAACTTTCAAGTCCTGTACTACATCTGACATTATTATAGACACATTTCTAGCACCTTGTATTGAGGAAACAGGACCTGACTGGTGTGAAATACCTGCTTTGTTATAGAATTAGTTTCTTAGTAGCCCCGATACCTTTGTTCTATCCACTAGCACAGGTGGGACTGAAGTCTGGTTACATCTGACTTTTTATATGCCTTCAAAGTCTGCACAGAAAATCCACAGTCATTATGATTAGAGCAATTCTTTGTAGCATATCCAGCAGACACTTATCTAAAGAACATTGCTTGAAGCTGGAACAAGTACTCTATCTCTGTCAGGTCAGAATTCCTATCAGAACACCTAAATGATGGTGTTTAAACATCAGACTTTACCTTTTGCAGATGTCTTTGCCCTTTTTAAGCACTTGGAATGTGTTATACTACAGCCCAGTTTTTTTCCTTTGAGTACTGTAGCACATGCAACAGTGTTAGGCATGATATCTTTACAAAACAAGGAGAAGAAAAAGCTTTTTGGTAAATCCTAGTTGTTCTTCTAAATCCCATTGTTCCAGAGTACACATATCTTGAGGGTTGGCTTTACAGAGAATTAGAGACCTTCTGCAAGTTATCCTTGCCCTCTTAGCACCCATCCCCTGCTTTGCACTCAGTATGTCACTCAGGGTATTGATAAAAATGTCACTATCACATGTGCTGGATATTCTGACCATGTCTTTGCTGCTAAAGAACCTTTGTCCTCAGATTGGATATCAGTACCTTGAAAAGAAAATTTCTCTAAATTAGCTGGGAGATATTTTAAATGCCTGTTGACTGGAAAACTGAAGGATATAGACAGAACACGGCCTGGAACCTGGAGTCCCTCTCCTAGCTTTGAGAAGTGGTCTGTGTGATGTCTGAGCACTCTGCTTGGCAATGTGTGCCTCGGGGCCATTCTCATTTGCTGTATAAGCAGCCAGTGACCTGTGCCTGAGGCATCATCCAGGGCAGGCATGATCTCACCCACTCAGGCACACACAGCAGCTTATTGTGCCCCCAGGCAAAGCCAACTGGGTTTTCTGGAGCTAAGCACAGAAGAGCAGGAAGGAGCCTGTGCTGCTCAAACCTGCTCTCTCAAACCAGGACAGGCATGACCTCTCCTTCTCAGATTTCCTCCTCTGTCAACCAGAAACTGTGACACTGACTTCCTTTATCAGATACTTTGACATATACTGAAGGTTTTTTTTCCTTCTGTCAGGATTCCTAATCATGTAGAAAGATCTGCTAGGCTGACAGCAAAGAAAATATTGTGGCGTAACAAAAGGTTGATCTCTGTCTATCCAAAAGCCTGCAATCTTAGTAGAAAGTAGGCATTATGGATAGACAAATATTTTGGGGTAAACATGGGTGTTGTATATTCCTCAGGAGTCTATGGCCATATTCTTCCTGCCCTAGTTTCACCCAAAAATGTTGCTGCGTGCAGTATGTGAAGACTTACTACTCATGCAAATTTAAATATTTACACTAAAATTGAAAGAGATTGTTCAGGTCATTGCTTCCTTATAGCAGATTGTAACTGTAGTGCTTCTTGGATCATGGTTTTCACTCACTCTTGTTTTCATAATGCCTGTGACTATTGAATTTCTGTTACAAACAAAAAATTGCAAAAAAAGCAATGCTACAAGAAGATTATTTAGCACAGCACACTGATAAGGACAAAAGCTCCTAACTTCAGTGTAAACACACTACAGAGCAACACAAAGATGTCTCTGAGGACACAGACCTGAACAGAAGCTGGTCATCCAAACAATTAGTGAAGGTGTGGTGTTTGTTGTAGGTGACTTATGCCCATGCTGGTGTTAAATAATCCTTGGTTGTGCTCGTTGGTATAAAGTTCAAGTAGTTGTCTTGCATTTAAACAATTCCCAAAATTCTGTCAAAATATGGTGGAGAAGGGAGGAGACTGAGTGCTCATGGCATTCATGGAGTTTGCTGTGTGTGTGCAGAGGTGGAGTAAAAGCAGAATTCTGCCTCTGTCCTCACCTTCGCTTGATGCAAAACGCCAGGAGCAAGAGATGGACTTGCATGCTTAGGATGGAAGGTGGGCACAGGAGGTACAGCAGCTTGTTCTTCAGCTGTTTGCATGGCTCTTGGATGGAAACATACCCCCAGGAAAAACCAGATTAAGCTTTCTACAGGTGAGGACTTTTCTTTGTGCAGGAACCCAGATGTGGGAACATGAGATTTTCTGCCTGTGTTTTTTCCTGCATGACCCACTGAAGCTAGATGGATCCACCTTGGGTGAGGGATAAGCCATCTGCAAGTAGGCTCAAAGGGATATTTAGTTCCATGTTTGACTCAGCAGGCCTGAAAATAAGTAGTCAATTGGGATGAAATGTCACAATGAATTTAGGTTGCTAAGTAGAAATCTGGGTACATGGATAAGAATTAGGATGTTGAATGCTTTCAAGATGACATTGTGAATCTGTGATGCAACCATGTCATGAAAATAGGAGGTTTCTTTACCCCATTGAGCAACTTGATAGGATCAGCCATATAAAGAATTTAGATATGTTGAGAGAAGGAGGTAATAAGTGAAAGATTCCTCATGGCTCAATCAAAAGCATTCAAGAAGTTTCTCCCTCTCACCCTCTCTTTACTTGATGCACCAAGATGGCCAGATAGAAAGTGCCCTGTGAAAGGCTGAG